ATCCCCACCCCCCCAGCTCCCACCTGGTTGCAAGGACCCTGAAAACCTGGACCTAGATCCAGTGCCCAGGGTGAGGGTTTGGGGCGGCAGATGTTCCCCGTCCAGATGGACAGACTTCCAGCTATAGACAGAGGTGGTTCTTTTGTCATCCCCACCCTCAGAAGTTCTGGAAATTTAAAATTCTTTCTTCTCTAGAAACTTTTATTCCTTTAGGGGGTAGAGGGGGGCAGGGGGGCCGTGAAACAAATAATGGCTGCCCCCTCTGTGGGTAATCCAGTCCCTTGGCTTCGTCTCTGGCTGCTGGACTTTTCCGGCGAGAACTGACCAACTCCAGGCCCACAATGCACAGAAAGTCCTCTCCCTTAACAGGGCACCTTAGCATGAGGCCAAGGCCAAGGAGACAAGAGAACACCTATTGCCTTCCAGAGGGGGACCCATGTCTCTTCCCTAGGAGGTGACACCTGCTCTTTGTATGATCCCCATGGAGGTACAGATGCCAATAGACACTAAAAGCCATTTAAGGACCATTACCTGGACTCATTCACTGTGGCCCAGTGACAGCACATAGTAGGTGCACAATAATCTGGATGGCAGGATTGTGGGTCCAAAAAAGGCAGCCCCTGACCTTGGGTGTGGCCAGCTTGAACTTCCCCAGCCCCTACAGTTTCTGCTTCCCCTCGCCCAAGGGTGCCACAGTCACCGGAGCCTGTCTTTCTGCCTCCTGCCCCTCCTGGCACCTCGGGAGAAATGAAATGGGGCCAAAAGAGAGAGTGACTCACTGAAGAGGGTCTCCAGGCGGATCATACAAGCAACGAAGCCATCAAAGTCGACACTGAGGGTGCTGCATGAGTACCACATGGCGATGATCTGCTGCATCTGATTGTTGAGCGTGAACCCTGGGGGCAGAGGGGCCTGGGTCACAGGTGGAATGGAGGGCTCGGCACTGCCTCCAATAGGACCCAAGGTGCTGAACTTGCAGGGGCCAGGCCCAACTCTGCCTCCTCCAAGGGACATCAGAAGGGTCTGGTCATCCAATTGATCCCAAAGGATTGGCCTCTTCCCTGGTCCTAGACTAGACCTGTAGCTTCAACACTAACCAGCGAGGTATCACACCCGTCCCAGCAAGAAAAAGCAGAGGTGAGGGGTCTGCCTCTCTTGCCCGCCTCTTTCATAACTCCACCCTCTGTGATTGCTGTCACCTTCCCAGGGACAAGCATAGTCCATGGAAAAAGTCTAAAGTGTTTCACTATATAAGACCCCAGCAACATTCCCTCCTCCCTCCATAGGGAAGTTGCTCAACAAATCTTTGTTGTCACACTGATGTCCAACCTAAGATACCTACCACCAATGATCACTAGCAATCGGCATTGGAATAGCTAAAATGGCACATCCAGGTCCCAAGACCTTGTCTATAGGATGTGTCCTCACCTGCCTTCTTGAGGGCTGTCATCATCTGCTGGGCATTAATGGTCCCCGATTGATTACAGTCGGTTTCTAGGTAAATCTCCTAAAGCAGGAGAGAAATTCCAGGTAGAAAACAGCTGTTCATGGCCCCTTCCAGAACTATCTCCCTCCACCCCACTGCCTCCTTGGAAGGCCAGGGACACCCTCAAGAGGAGACCTCAGGGATACCTGCCAAGAATTTCTCAGAAGAAAGATAAGAGCTTGGGCTGAGGGCCAGTGCTCGCTCCCTTGCCCTCTGAACAGTAGGGCTTTGGGTGAAGGCATTGGCACAAGGGTCTCTCGTTGACTTTTTAGTGCTTTCTGAACGATGTGCCCATGTTCTGTGTTGGTTTTGACCATGATTAAGGAGCTGGTCAGAGTAGGGCGTGACACAGACAAGGAATGAGTGTCAGGGTGGATGAAGGGCTAGAAAGAGGGGACAGGAGCCAGAGCCCAGAGGATGCCCAACAGGGGCAGAGAGTTTACCAGGAATTTCTGAATCCTCAACCACAGCTTCCTGAATTCCACAAGTCCCAAGGTGCCCGTGCCGTTGCTCTACATGTGTTAAAGGCCAACACGATCAAGCCCGAATTCTACACGCCTTATGGGAATCTTTCTCTTGAGGTCTTTTTTTTTTTCTTTTTTTTAAATATATCTTTATTGGTTTCAGAGAGAGGAAGGGAGAGGAAAAAAGAGGGTTGAAACATCAATGATGAGAGTCATGGATCAGCTGCCTCCTGCACACCCCGGACTGGGGATCGAGCCCACAACCCAGGCCTGTGTCCTGACCAGGAATCGAACCCCCCTCTTCTGGATCCTAGGTCGATGCTCAACGGCTGAGCCACGCCCAGCCGGGCCTCTCGTGGTCTTGAACAATGAGTGTCTTAAGGTCCTAGTGAACATCCCTGTCTGCAGTAAGCAGGGCCCTGGGTGTCATGGTGGGGAGGGTTGGTGGGAAACAAATTCAAGTAAAGATTAAAAAGTCGAACACTCACTAAGGTCCCCCTCTTTGAGGAGGGTGGGAATATAGCCTAGAAGGGGGAGCACTATGATTAACCAGGAGGCTGGGCACCAACGCCCCGTATTTGCTAAATTAAAGGAGTTTAAAGAAGCCACCTTAAACACTACGCGCCTCAGTTTCTTCACCTGCGAAATGGAGATCATCTCAAGCCTGTTGAGGAGCAAACATGAGATGACATTTTTCTTTAAAGCCCAAGCAGGACACTGACATCCATGAAGTAAATGCTGGTTCCCTGCTCCTTCCTTCTTTTTCCTGCCCTTCCCCCCTCCTCACTGGGAAAGGATGTGGAATTGTGTAAAATGGGGAAAGTATAAATAATGTGCCATTTAAAGGATACATCCATCAGGCTGATCATCTCCCTGCAAGTGTTGATGTCGAATCCATAGAATTTTATGTCTGTTCCTAAAATGTACATAGGAAAGGGGGGGTGGGGATCAGGATGGGTTTAAGGCAAGGGAAACAATCTGCAGAGCAGGAGGCCACCGAAGGCTCCAGCCAGAGACTCCCAAGGACTTTCTGAAAAGCCCTGAGGAAGGACTTACGTTTGGAAAACACCTCATTGAGAGTGGTCTTGAGCTCATGGGCACCGATCTCAGAATCCTAGAAAGAGGAACACGAACGCGCGTGGGGTCAGGCCCGGGCAAGCTCTCCAAGGTGTTAAATTCATGTAGTCAGACGCATGGACCACGGACCGTGATTTCCAAAGGCTGTGACATCTTTAAAAACTCCAGTTCTGTTTCTCTGGGGTTCCCACAGCCTGGGGGAATGTGCATCAATGACGTGAGCACGGCACACCCAGGGCAGAAGGCTGCCACACGGGGGGCCTGCTGCCTTTCTTGGGTNCATGTGCATCAATGACTATGAGCACGGCACACCCAGGGCAGAAGGCTGCCACACGGGGGGCCTGCTGCCTTTCTTGGGCTCCCTCAAGCCCACAGCAAAGTGCGGTGAGTCTCGGGTAACAGGAGTGACACTGATGGGCCACACCCCCGATGTGGAATATCCTCAACTTTTGAAAACAGCTCTGCATCCACATTAGAGTGAAAGAAGCCGTGATTTTGCAAACGACTAAACTCCACGTACATACACGATGCAATCTGTCATTTCCATGGGATATAATTGATCACTTGGGACTCACAGCTACCAAGTGGCAGAGTTGGGACTCGAAACCTAAACTGTCTCACCCCAAAGCACCTACTTTTCCCACTGCACCTATGGGAGCTGCCCTTCCAAGCAGCAGCTCATCTCACACTGGAAGCGGGGGCTTAGGGGACTAGGGTTTCCCATGGGCATTTGGGACAAACACTGAGCCAGAGGGGAGATTTGTCCCTTAACTCTCAGCTGGAGGACAGATGTCAGGCAGGACGACAAATGAGGAACAGAGAAGGGGCACTGGACTGAGCTCTGGGTTCCAATGATGACTCTGCCCCTTACTTGCCATGTGACCTTAGCCAAGTCACTTCCCCTCGTGAAGTGTGATTTTATCTATCATTTGTCCCCAGGGTGGTCCCACTTCTCCCATCCTCTCCACCAGCTGGCCCAGCAATTCTATCAAAACCAAGTGAGATAAGAGCTGCCCAGAGCAGGGTCTCCGGTGAGGGCCGCTGGCCCTGAGCTTCCCTGGAGGGCAGAGAGCAATTTTCCCCCTTCAGTTCTGGACTGAGTGCTTTCACCCCCCCGAAATCCATATGTTGGCACCTACCCCCAGTGTGGTGGTACTAGGAGGTGGGGCCTCGAGGGGTGATCAGGTCATGAGGGTGGAGCCCTCATGAATGGGATTAGTGCCCCTATTAAAGGGACCACAGAGAGGCCCCTCTCTCTTTCCTCCGGGTGAGGACCCGGGGAGAAGGCAGCAATCCGCCACTCAGAAGAGGTGCCCCCAGAACCTGGCCATGCTGGGGCCCTACTCCAGACCCCGACTCCAGAACTGCGAGGAATAAATGCCTGCTGTTCATACGCCACCCAGCCCACTGCGCTCACCTTCCTGGCAAGCTTCTCGAACAGGCTATAGAGCCGGCCGTCGTCTTGATCTCCCTCGCTGGGCTGTGGCTGAGGGGCAGGACAATGGCAAAGTTAATGTGGGAACCCTATTTGGCTCAGGCATCTGCAGAAAGAGGAGCTTAAAAACCCAAATAATTCATTATGCCTGCCCCGCCACCCATCCTGCCAAAGACTCAGCAGCCAAGGGTGCCCCATGTGGCCTCTGCAGGGACACCTCAGTCTGTTTGGGGAGACAGAATGGAAGGTGAAAGCTGGACCTGTGCCCCCTGGAGAGAGTCCTGCCACACCCCTGGCCAGTGCCTAGTGGGGCCCCATGACACTACCCCTCATGGAGCAGCCACAGCGTCTGAGGAAAGGGACAGCAAATTGAGGACATGAGGGAGGAGTACAGGGAGTGAGGTGGGTGAACCTACACTTCAAACCCTGTGCATTTCACCCTCCAAAGTCTGCTCTGAGTCACCTCCTCCAGGGAGCCTTCCCAGACTGGGCACTCACTCCAGCACCCCTAGACTGCACACACACAGGTTTAGATCTGCTTCTGCATGAGGGTCCCGCCACCTTTTTCATATGCTTCCATCATTTGTCCCCTGAAAGACTAAGGGCAGGGGACTGGATCTCTTTGGCCCATCGCCTTCTCTGTCCTGCACAAACTGCTCAAGCACACTGGAGTGCTCTAGCTGAGGGTCCAGCTGACTGGATGGGGGAGATGCTAAGATCCCCTCTTCGGGGGGTAGGAATGTGTCCCAGTGATGCTTCTATCTCATTCTTATCAAGAAGATCCAGGGCCTAGAAGATGTGATGGCCCTGATGAATACAAAGTCTTTAATGTATAAAGAACCATCCTTCATACATAAAGAACTCTCATGAATCAATGAGAAGCCCTGAATGGCTGCTAGGCAACAGTGTCAGAGCTTGGTTACATACCTCATGTGGGTTTCCAGCTACCATGTCCCCAATTTCCCTGAAATATAAAAAGAGATAAACCAAATATAAATAGATAGCTAATGACTAGGTCCTTTTAGGAATTTTTTGACCCTTCTGAGGGATTGGTTTCCCACCCAAGGCCTTCATTCAATTCCTCCTAGCACCAAACTGGATCCCTCCCCACACCACCCTCAGTTTGTTTGTTTTTATAGGAGACAAGAACTGCCAAGTTCAGGTGGGCCCTTGATAGAATCTAGAACGTTCGCCCTGGTGGACCACTGTTCTGGAGAATTCTCTCTCTTTGCCCCACTTTCTACTTTTCTCCTGTCTTGAGAATCCACCTCTGTGAATCTTTGTTGAATAGCCTCTGGGGGATGAGCCAGCAGCCCATGTGTGCATGCATACAGGCACATGGCATGTGGGATATGTCTGTGTGTGTGTGTGCATGTGTATGTGTGGTATGTATGTGCATGTGGGGTGTGTGTGTGTGTGTGTGTGAGTATGGGGAGTTGGTGCTCTCTGGATCCCACTCTATGGGCCTCATGTTACTGGAATCTTTTCTCTCAGCCTTGACCTTTTCTTAAAGAAAATCCCCCAGTGTCCTTTAGACCAAAGTAGGGGGGCAGGAGGGGGACACCCAGTGAGGACCCTTGCGACCTGAGGTGTTTTACACCTTTCTCCTGGGAAGCATCGATGGGAGCCAAGGGTGGCTCTGTTGCCCAGGGCACCCAGACCACCCCCACCTCCACAGAGGGAAAGGACACGCACAGGGCCCCAGCCCTCCTCTCCGAGAACACCCGCAGGCAGAAGTCACCATCCTGGAAGGGCTCGAAGGTGGATGGCACCACCACGTACTCCCCCGGGGACAGCTGGCCCCGGGTAGAGACCTCCCGCAGGTTCACGTAGGTGCTCGACTGGGCCAAGGGCTGGTGGCCCAGGAAGAAGCGCTGGCCCAGGTGCACATCGGTGTGACTCTCCAGCTGTGGAGAGAGCAACGGTCAAGGGCAACTCCGCTGAAACCCTGGGAGACAAGGGCCAGAGCTCGGTTTCATTTTCTGATTTAGGGATGGGTGACTTTCGACCCTGGGCTAAGAATCAGGGCTAACCCAAGGGGGCCTTGGATTCTGTTGTGAACTCACCAGGAACCAGGCCCTGTTTCAGTCACTGCCCTTGACTCTGTGACCTTGGCCAGACCCTTAGCCCTCTTCCTGGTTAAATGAAGGGTCCAGCAGTAGGGTCCCCGGGGCAGGCTCAGCTTCTCTCTGGGTCTTTGTCCTCACGAATCACCCACTCACTGAATCCAACACTCTTATTCTGCGGCTATAGTTGGGGTGTGGCCTTGAGGGCCCACACGGGCCTGGTCCTTGTGCCCTGGCCGGGTAGTTCAGCTGGTTAGAGCATCATCTCCATATGCCAAGGTTGTGGGTTTGATACCCAGTCAGGGCACATACAAGAAACAACCAGTGAATGCACAAATAAGTGGGGCAACGAACCAATGTTTCTCTCTCTTCCTCTCTCTCTCCAAAAAAATCAATTTAAAGAAAGGAGAGAGGGGTTATTAACTAAACAAATAAATAATAAATTAATAAATAATAAATTAATAAAATAAAATAGATCGTGGTCCTCAAGCAAAAGCAAGGTGATCAGGGCAGGCAGGGCGGGAGGGCAAGGATGCAGCTCCTAGGGAG